GTCCAGTAGCCGGTCATATTAGCGCCTGCCACGTAGCCCTGCTCCTGCGCGTTCAGGTAGTGATCCAGTCGCAGCCGAGTGTCCTTCCATTGCGAGTAGAAACTAGCCGCGTCACCGGCCTATGTGATAAAGTACAAGTAATAACCATAAACAATAGCACCACTATAAAACTTATGCGCTTTGCCAATGAAAATGGAGAGCCAATATATTAATATTAACATCCTTACAGAGCGTCGGTAGCTCAGGGGTCAAACACTTGACTTGCCATCTACAGGTCTTGGGTTCGAATCCCGTCATGTACCAATGTATTTATCGATTTCCGATTTACATAAGTACATTTATCCGACGTTCTTACAGTGAAAGAAAATATCGTGATGCAACCTGCATATATTTGAGAAGTAATTCAAAAATAATATGTGAAGTCAACCAGCACTTGGCCAGCGTGGTTGAGTATGGTCTTATCACTCTTAACTCAGGGTAGGCTCCGAGCCCCTCGGTGGAGACGTAATGTGAGCTAGAGATGATGATGATGATGATGAACATCCTTACAACGTATAAATGCGTCCTGGCCATCAGTTCCGTATTAACCACGAAGCCGCCATTGACGTCGTCAACTTCCAGATACGAAGGCTCCGCCAGATCCATACGCGGTTGTGAGCCCACCGCCACAAATGCCTAGAATCACATAATAAGTCTATATTCAAGGGAAAAAGCTGTTACTAGCAAATAGACTCGCAAACTATTGGATCGATTTAAAAAATTCGCTATTAAAATTATCCATTATTCTTAAGTGACATTAGCTATATTTAATTTTGTAATTAAATGTTTGCAAATCCAATAAATAATTCTACATCGTAATATCTTTGAAATCAAATCATACATAATCTGTGACGAGTGACGTTCCATCAGACAAAGTCAACTCCAGACGACCGTCTTCTGACTGGTAGGCATCGTATACTTGAGCTATCGAACATACCACAAATTAGCATACTGTAAAACCGTGTTATGACATCGAAGGGAGTGACAATGTTACAATAGATTTTAACTGCAGTGTCAAAGACATGGCAATATTTATTGGCACAAACGCAATCCAGTAGTTAGAAAATTTTCATACTTTTAGGTTTAATGGTGACGCCTTCCTTTCTGATCTTCTCAGCTGCCCATTCACCCAGGTACTCCGGGATCACGCTAGCCATGATGCCCTTGTCCTTGTAAATGTGTACTATCTTTATCGGCTCATGATCCGGGTCTAACTCCTTGTCCAATTTATCTTCAAAAATAATAATTTCAAATTTATTGTTAATTGTAATATCCAATGCGCTAACATAATTTTAAAGAACAGCACCTTTTACTCATAATTTCAAACTAATACTAAAAAGAGAAACGTAACTTTTTTACACAAAATCCAATAATTTGCAGGAGTAGTTACTTTCTCATCACCAGCATAAACGAACACTATCACAATGTAATAAACGCCCAGCATATTATATGAGGTAGTAGAACTAACTCATCCTGCCGAGGTACCAGGCGAGCTCGCAGCCGAGCGGGCCTCCTCCGATCACCACCACGTGCTTGGACTTCTTGACACTACGGTACGCGATCTCCAGGTCGCGGATAGTGCGCAGGTTGCAGACGCGATCACGCACCGCCTTGGGCGCGGATTTAAACATCGACAGCTGCTTCGGTTTGGAACCTGACACATCAAACAAAAGATAGACAACTAGAAGACAAAAAATGCCCCCTTATTTAGAAACGATAAAGAAATCATCATTGTTATACACCAAGCTTTGCAGTGTTTGCTTGGTCTACTCTAGTCTACTCGTATTCAGTCCGACCTGGTGCTATCAGACATCGCTCGTAGTATATGGGCTGCTCGCCGCAGAGCGTCTTGATCCAGGCGACGTGGCTATCAGCGTCAACGCGCAGTACGCACCACCCTGTCGCTATGGAGACCGCCGGACCCGTCTTCTTGCGATAGAACTTCACAGGATCCAGAAAGTTGCGACACTCAGACAGGTACATTCTAAAATATATCTATATTGAGCAGTGAATTGCAAATAGGTACAGTCCTCGAAAGACATCGGGAAATAAAGTTAAGGATTCACAAGTAAAGATGAAATTTAGATGTATAGCGTTAACCGAAACCAGGTAAGTCTTGAAACATAAAAATTATGGGAATCTCTCAACTGTAGTCTTAAGTGACTGATGATGATGATTAATCGGAACCTCATCACTATTTAGACAAAAAATTAGAGTTACAACAAAAAGGTAAACCAAGAACATACGTTTTCTTCTTCCAATCCTGAACATAATAAAGGTTCTTGATATCGGGCGGCTCGGGGTTCCACCACATGTACTTTGACATCGGGGGTCGTTTGTACGGCAAGCAGTCTTCTTTCGCTATGAAAAACACCTACAAAAAGTTGTAATGACTGAATTTCAGGATCGCATTGAAGATCGTATCAAAAATTACACGGGCCTGAAGAGAACGCACTTCTGATTAAGTGGCCCTGCTTCATTTAAAACAAACTCACCTTCGCGGTTTTATCGTGTTCTATGATAGAGTTGTAGGCCGCCCAGCCGGCCGCTCCCGCACCGATTATCAAGTACTGGACACATGGCGGTATATCCTTCTCGTGGAATGGCCGCTTTATAACACGCCTTGGACGCCCTGCGACATGATAATTAGTTATCTACAATTTAATAGTAGTTTTAAACCCCTTCATATTGTGAAGGAAAAGATTGTAATGCAGATATGCGAAGACATTTGAAAATCTGTAAAATCAACTAATCATCCGTATTAGTTCTGCGCAATTGACTAAAACCTGATCACCCCTTACATAGGTTTGGCTCGCGCCCTGAGAGAATGAACCTGAGCTGACGATTTAAAACACAAGGTCCTTCTAAGAAATCTATCAGCGCCAAAAAATACTTACATATTGGTATATTTTCTCCAAGTTTGTCCTGCTCCTCCTTCCATAAATATAATTTGTAAATCTGCGAATAATTTTAAATATGATGAGATGATATCTTAAATATTTAAGAGCACCCGTAACCCAAGGCTAGAGGTGCGGCAGGATCGCACAAAATTGAAGTCCGTAAACTCTGCCTAAATTACTTTGGGTAAGGAGCGTGAGTTGCTATTGACAATTAATACTTTGTTGTTGTAAATACAAGAAATCCTTACCAAGCCCACAGTGCCGAGGAAGGAGGCGAGACCCCACACGTACACCCAAGGGAATGGCGGCGGCGGCGGGGGCGGACAGGGCGGCGGATCGGGCACCGGTTTCATCGAGCAAGGGCCCTTCGTCCGTCGGCATTCCAGCATTGGCTGGAGGAGGGCAATACATAGCATTGATTGCTTTAATATCAAAGCTAAATTCTTTCGAATTCTGCAAATGGTCAATAGATTTTTACTGGCGGCCTCAGAATCCCCTTAAACAGTCACCTTACTTTACAGCCTCCCTTTGAAATATCCGTCCGTCTAAATACCTAAGTAGAGTTCCAACTAATCCAGTGCAATCAAATCTGACTTTTAGTTAATTCGATTTTGAAACTTAATACTATTAGTCCTAATACAGCGTATGTATTTTATTTTCCTTTTCAGGGACTTTCATTCAAGGTATTTTATATTTTGTATGAATTTTGTAAGAAATAAGTTAGTTTGTGAATTTGAAAAAAAAAATTATTCAGGTTTTAACTAGTTCTGTGTCGGACAAAATTATTATCTATACTGGCGCTAATAAAATAAAAATAAGTGATTTTTCTTTGTTTATTTATTACATGTTTAATATTTACGAAATCAGAACCCTTATGCTACGTCAATTGTTTGTTATTGGCATTGGCAGACTGTTGCAATTCTGGATGTTCGTCCTTCTCTGCCTGCGCTAACAGCGTCAGTCGGTCCAGGGGGTTCCAGGGCTCGTGGAACGCGTACTTGTACTTGGTCTTGCCGTGGTAGCCCAACCGAGGCGTCACCTCCGACCCCACTTCGTTCTCCAGTCTTTGCATTTTATTCATCGACTTTCTCTTCCAATTGTCCGGATGAACGATCGGAGTCTGTTGGAACCAACTCCTAATCGGACTCGGTTGCCTAGCATTCAAACTTTCGGCCGAGTTACTCGAGCTCGTTGTCTGTGTGGAGCCACTTGGAGCTTCCTGCCAAAGAAATTTACTTTTGAAATGACAACCATATCGTTTTTAGTGCGTTGGACGAAATTCTCAAAGATTGAAACTGAATTACATTGCCGAATTTTGAGGTATTATAGTTTTCTTTCGTGTTTCGCAACTTCAGCCGCCTACAAGATCCTCTTTGCAATCATGGAATCTCTGCCGGATTTGTTTTTCTTCTTCCATCCGAGCAACTCTTTCAGAGTGGTAAAGAAGCCCTTCGGCTCCTCCTCTTTCTCCATATCCTGCTCCATTTCACTGTGCGGTATGCCTGTCTGCATGTGTTGCGGCTGGTGGTACTGCTGCTGCGGATAACTCGGGTAGCCATGCCTGGGGTCCTGGTGGCCTGACGTCACGAACACGAATCCAGTCCGCTGACAAACAAAGCACAAGCTGGATTTCATTAGATCTCTAATTGGACGCTCAAGGGCTCTGATTTCGTCTAACGCACTAACATATGATATTTAAACTGTAAGGTAAATAATTATTGCATAAATCACCGGAAAACGATTCAACCAACGACGACCGTCTTGCATGTACATTATTTAAATCATGGCAACAGCATAATAGATGAATTCAAAACTTAAATGAATGTCCAAACATTTTAATGGTGAAATTCTAAAGCTAAAACAAAATAATGGAATTGTAGAATAAGCTAAGAGCTAATTACCTTGGCGTTGCTGGGTGGTAGGGGTGGCACGACCACATCCGGTGATTTAATCTTGTAGGGGTCATAATTGGGGGGCTGCGGCTCTTCAGGGAAGTTGCAAGGCCACATGGGCGCGCGAGGCCACGGCACCACCGTCTTGCCCTCAGCTTGCGGAACGTCCCGGCAGCAATCCTTGTCCTTTGAGTAACTCTTGTGGCGGGCTGCAATGACAAAGTGTTTAAACCGAATCCAGATTTTTATAAGCTGAAAGTGACAAGATGGGAATCCCTCGCGATATACCAAAGAATATGATTCTACTAGAGTAGAAAAGCACGCTAGACACTGTTCAAAGATATAATCGTGTTAAATGTACGGGGCTATTAAGGTTCAAGTTACGTAAAATAAATCTAATAATTTGATCTTGTTGAGATCTACCAAAGGATGGATTGCACGGAAAGGGTATAGATTCAGATATGGCCGATAGAGGAATATGACAGATTAGTTCATCCTGTGCCGACCCCACTTGAGTAGAAAAGAGTAAGGAGGATCTATCTGCTAGGATTATTATAAAAATTGTAATACCTTACCTGTTATAACAATAGCTTGACCGATATTATGGTTGCTCGCGGCCAAAATGTGATTCAAACTTTTGATTTGGTTGCAATATCGTATGGTACCCATTTTGAATTTAAACAGAAATTTATCTTTTGTATGCTTTGCGAAAATTATCTACATTATTTTTGAGTTAGTTTTTGAAGAATAACTTTTGATTTTTATTCTGAATAAATGCTATGTGACGTATTTGAAAGTTGAATATGGAAATTTGTTTTCTTTAATCGTTATTGGCCGCAGCGTGTGTACAGAATTACGACAGAATAAGGAGGTTTGTTGCTAAATATTTGCTAAATCAAAATTAAATAATTCTTAACTGGATGTGTTAATGATCAAAGTCCTCTTGACCTCCTATCTCCCAAGTAAGATTGGGGACAGACAGGCAATTAGGCGACCGTAAAAATTAAGCCGCAACTTTGGGGAAAACCTGACCCCACGTAAGTGGCCATGCAAAGATGATTATTTACACAGAATAAAGGAGAACATAGTCGTATTTTAAGTCAAGTCGTCAAGTCTAGCAACAGGTAGGTTTGGTAGTACCAAAGCTGACAAATTTTACTTTTACTCGGATCCCTTAGCTACTAGGATATTTGGGAGATCGATTGTATGAATAAAAGTCGTTTAAAATATTAAAACTAATTTATTTGCTGTACAAAACATTCTATAAACCTTCGTACATCTTATTATATGACTATTATAAAATTGTCTCAATAGATATTGCGTCATATGTGTTACAAAATTTAGTGCACAACATTACAACACGACCACAATAACAAGAGACATGACAAGATTTAAGTCGGTAAAACTAATGAGTTCTAGACATAATACATATCGCTTTATCGAGAGGTTTATAAGCAGAACAGAGTGAAGCAAACCTTGTGTTATTGTATTCGTATTGGAGATGCAAATAAATAAATTCGCTTTATACTTTGGATCGAATAACGTAAAGCAATGTATCAACATAAAATATTCTTAGCACTTTTGTATGTATGTTATTACAATTTTTAGATTTAATGCTATTGTGAGGGTCAAATGACATTTTATGGTATTGGATATGGATTGAACATCCACGACTGTACACATTTCGGGACTGTAAAGCCCTTCGTACACAAAACAAAGAAAATCTACAAAACCTGGCTATTTTAGTCGACATGCGACATACGTATTACATAGTCATAGAGTTTTGTATACAATGCGAGTCGCCCATTGTCATTATTTCGTGGATTTCATCAGTTGCTCTCAACTTATTTGTCAAGATCGTCGTAAGTTGTTACGATTTTCAAGATGGCGGAGCAAATCAATTGACATGTAGTCGCTATTCCTGTGAGTGTTGTAGACTTGCGTCGACGATTCAATGTAGTGTACGGAGCGCGGGCACGCAACCGCACGATATTAGTTTCCACGATTAACGTTGCCGTGTGTACGAAGGTCTTAATTGAAAACACACAATAATGTAAATTTACAATATAATAAATAGCTACAAAAAATTAATTTACAAAAGTTTTTTACTCAAATAAAATTCACGCTTTCACAAAATACTTGCATAATTCCTATACATTTAAGGTACGCGTTGATTGACCAGCGCCGGACGCACTGCACGCACGTATTAAACGGATTTGGTTTGATGATAGACGCAGCGCTGTCAAATCATACAAAACAAACTAAAATTGCTAGCCGTGCGTGCGGTGCGTCCGGTGCGGGCCAATGGACGCGTACCTTTATAAGGCTTATATTTATTTAAATTGTCTAATGAATTTTTAGCATTTTTCTATAGTAACAAACATTTATATAAATGTTTTTGTACTAAATATCTTAATAATAATTGCAATCGGATATAAAAGTTTAATTAATAAATTATATTTACAAACATATATTTATACAATACTGTAACAGTTTGAAAAACTCTCTAAATAACTATATCCAGTTAATTATGTCATGAAAGCAAAAACTATAATATTACTCCTTTGTTCAATTTATATTAAAACATTCATTATTTGATGAATTCAAATAATATGTAGATACAAAAAAAACATCGTCTTGCTTTTAATATCTTTGACTATATTCAATTTAAATAGATTAAAAAATAAGAGCTAAGAAATATTAATAATTGGTTGGTAATTATTGAAAACTAGATGGCGCTGACCAAAATTACTGGCCACCGAGAATGCAATAAACAAACATAATTAAAAAGAAAACAATGACAGTAAAATGAGACGAAAAACCGTGTGAGAGGGAAAAAGGAACAATGTAACAACATTTTAATTTTGATTGTGTAATTTGTAAATATTATTATGAGAATGAAATAAAGCAAGATTTACAACAGATGGTACTAGTAGTTTCAGAAGAGAATATGAGAAGAGATTTCATAAATAAACAAATATATAATAAATAAAAAAGGGAATTAGAAGATTAAAAAATTATATTTAAAAATGCATTTCCTTTACTTCTATGTGAGTTGTGTTAAAAAAGAAAAAAAGACTAATGGATTTCATAATTTAAGCTCTCAAAAATTATATGAATGAGATCTACTTTTAACCATTGCTATATTATAGAGACCTTATTTTCCAACAACATGGCATCAATTTGGTGACAACATCTTATTCAATCTACATATTGTTGTAAATAAACCTTTATCATTAAATGTGAACACTTTATGTACAATGTTTGACTGTATGTTCACACTACAGTAATTGTATTGGGACATGACAATATGACAAATTTCAGTTGAAACTTACAACAAAGATTTCAATAATAGTGTGCATTTCCACTATTGATATCTGTATAAAAACAAATTGTTGTCTCTCACATTCCATATAAAAGTAGCAAAATGGTCAGTGGAAATCTACATTAAGTCTACAAAGGTTTTGACAAAAAGCCTCAGCATATTTCATAATTAAATCATTGTAAATACATTAAAACGGACGAAAAAACTAGCAGTGGCCAGTTCACAAACACTTAGCGACAATCAGAGTTATTAATTGACTACTAAACACCCTTAGTGCAGGTTTAGTAATAGAAGTATACACTGTTCTCTCTGTTATTATCTACTCTATGTTGGACTCACCTGTTTCAGTTGTCAATTTTGTCATCTTCAAGCATTTTCTTTCTGTTTAGTATTAAAAAATCTGCACCAAAATTAACCAAATAACAATTCTGATTGTGTTTGAACACTTCACATTACACACTGTCACTAAAACACAATAATCACTGTCACTAAAATGTATAATGCAATGTAAGGGGACTCATTCTAGTCCGAACAACCAGTTGATGCCTTGCGCCAGGAACAGGATGAGCGGCTGCCACGCGACCAGCCATCGAATCCAGTCGAGCAGCTGGCCGTACAGGATGTGGGGGCGATCCCAGCTGAATGCTTGTTAAGGTCACAATTATGAGGTTTTTTATATTATAAGATGCCTTGCCTAGCTTTATTCAACAAAGGAGAGCACGCAGAGATAGAAAATATTTCGCCCTCCTTCATTCAGTTCTCCATCAAAACTAGTGCCCCTTCCTATTCTATTTAAAATCAATTTTCAAGTTGGATAAAGTTATCTTATTATTTAAACTAGATGGCGCTGTGCTTAATCCCAAGTGTTTTGATATTTGTGTGAAGTTATGAAGAATTATTATTACCTGGATAAAATGCAGTTTAAATTTTATCCCTCATCATTTTTAATCATAATTTTGAAGTATAGAAAAATTAACTTCATACTCTATACATGATGTTTCATTATGTCTAAAATCGAGATTAGCATATAAGAGATGCGTTGTTTGCGTAAAAGGATACGGGTTGGTGAACATGCGGCGCAGATCCACCTTCTCCTTGCAGTAAGGGCAGGTCTGCTTCTTGCCCACGATGCACCAGCCCCTGATGCAGAACTCGTGGAACACGTGCCCGCACGGCAGCTTGTACGTGTTCTCTACAACATTATATAAATTAAATTTCATTTCGGTCACTGCAGACAACTACCAGTTGCCTGCGATTCCGTTCGCGCGGTATTAAAATAAATTATAATAGTAGCCTATGTGTTCTTCCAGACTATGTTCTACATCCATGTAGCTGTTCTGGACTAATTCTAACAAATATCCATCCATCCATCCAAACATTCGAATTTATAATATTAGTGCTATAGAAAATCAAGCACTAAGGAATACTGACCGAGGATGCCCTCCTCGTTGACATTCACCATCAGCTGGTTACCACACACCGCGCATACGTTGCTTTCCAACTGTCGTGTCGGAATGCCCTCCTTGGTATAGTACTGAAATAAACAATTAAAAATAGTTTCTTATAATGCTCTTCTGAATTTCCCACATAACACCAAGATTAACTCCCTGAGTCAATATTTAAACTGTCCCTAAAAATCTTTACTAAGCGACAAATATATTTACTTACTAACAATACCAAGTGTGGCAGCAAGAATTTAAATTTTTTGTTAATCTTTTTCATAATAATAAAATTCCTGAATCACTTAATGAAAAAGGATCTTAACAGACATACAGACGGACAACAAACTGATCCTATAAGGGTTCCACTTTTTTTCTATCGAGGTACGGAACCCTAAAAATAAAAACATAATTTCACTCACCCCGATAGAGGCGGCCATTTTATCAGTACAGTATTCAGCCACATCCCGGCCTAGCACTCCGAAGTAGAGGCCATAGAACAACAGCACCAAAGCCACGTCCATCCACTGCTGCGGCTTGTGTCCAAAGAATGTGTTTATACCAACAAACGTCGCCATCATTAAGATGTAACCCACAATACCCAGGAAACAACTCACTTTGTATATTAGGTAAAACCATTTGTACACCAATCTGGGGATATTAAACATTGACAGATTCAATTCAACACATTATAAATGCAAAAGTTTAGATGGATGGTTGGATGTTTGTTTGAAGGTATCTCCAGAGCGGCTAAAAGGATATCAATGAAATTTGACATACATATAAAACATAATCTGGTAGAACTAAATAGGCTACTAATTATGTTTTTATAATCTCGTGCGGACACAGTTCCAGTTTGGAATAAAAACTCGATTCACTGTAGTTATATGGCATTCTGGAGATAGATAAGTATGTAAAGTAGTGTCACTCGACAAAGTCGTTTAAGCTACAGGATGTTCTTTTTCATAAAGTGTCAAACAAGCAAGCAGACACCTGATTTACATATGCTCATATGACGTACTTACCTTGGCGTAGTATTAGACATGGGTTTAGCTGTGGACTTCCTTATAACAATACCCGTGAGCAGGGTAAAGACAGTCCATATTGTGATGAACCTCCACCAGCCTTTGTTGAAGCTCAGCGCCAACGGAATTGACCACATTGACACCATTGTAAAGAACTGGACAATTTTATTATTAAATAAAAACTGGAAAGCAAAGAAACTCATACTTTTGCTACTTTAATAGTGGAGATAATCAATTGGAAATGGGTTTTTTTTTGTTAAAACATTCACTATTTTTTTATATTTTTTTGGAAGTCTGGTTGTTTTTAAACATTTTATAACAATATAATTTAAGTATGTTAGTCAGATATGATGTAATAATCTAATGGTGAAAAAAAGTTTAGTAGTTTTTGAGTTTATTAGTTAGCCCATAAATTGCAATTCAATTTTACGATCATCCTTTAGCTAAATATAAAAAGAAATTACACTTGGTCAAGATAATATCGAGTGCTAATTTTAATAAAACATAGCTCTTATATCTTACAGCATAAGATCGATAGTGCCTCTTCTTCCATTCGACGACGACGAACTGTGCCACTACAAGTGTGACAATGAGGATAAGCACCATTGTGGTATGCATGGACTCGTGACCACGATGCAACTCATGCATTTTCTGGTGGTCAAATCTGAAGACAACTGAACATTAGTTACTCAAAAGACATGAAGTTAGGGTCTAAAGTGACACATAGACATTATGATGCAATCTTCAAGTAGCTATGAAGAAATTGTATACGTAAATTTTAAATGTTATTTTATACTTTTGTTCATGCTATATGCAAGCATTCATTTTTGCATTATCATAGTAATTTTTTCTCATGAAAAAGCACACTTAAGAGGCTATGACAGTTCTTGCAGATCAATGGGTATTGTTCTGTTTGACCTATGACCTAGTCACCCTTAACTCAAGGTCCTAGCACCTCATTGGGGTGGATAGTGAGCTGATGATGAATTGGTATTGTTCATTTATAGGTTTGAAGCTTGTTATGTTAATTTTCTAGTACGAAATTAGTGTAACTTATATGATTTCAACTTAAAACTACGGATTTGGTTATGTAACACTATGTTGGTGAATGTAATTTGTGTTTGTAAATGAGCGTTTTTTGACTAATTAACAATTCAAATGACATTAAAAGTTATTTCTTTTAGACGATGTAACTGTAAAATTTGAATACAATAGAAGATGCAGAAGAATTTTAAAATAACAAAGTAAAATCTTAAGAGATATCTCACAGATATTATTGTTTGCATTGCCAACCTTTGGGGTTAACAAAGAATGAAAAAACCATACTATATATAAAAGCTATACTTTTTTTAATCATTTTTTGGGGCTATTGTCCTTTTCGGACATGTCAATCCCATAGTGTCTTTCCTTATAATTTAATAAACGAACTGGCATAATCGTACCGCCGCGACCAGGTCTGACAAAATTGTATAGATTAGGCCAACATCATTTAAATTTACTTTCAGTTCTGCGAACAGCAGCTCAAGATCCCGCCTGTTTAAAAGCTATATCTAACTATCCAAATTATAAACATGAAGTGTATAAAATTGTATAAATAAAAATGTGTCTAACGGAATTTGTGCATGCCTGTAATTGGCATACATATATAAAATGTTTGTGTGATTTTTGTTTTTCTGCTATTTTATATGTATGCTGTTGGCCTGTTTTAATATATAAATACCTCTTTTGCATTTTATAATAATATGTACAATCAGTAAATTATGTTCCAAATTCAAATATTTCAAGTTTACCATAAATGTCAATTACAAACAGGTTTGTTTGTTATATTGATAGGCAAATTAGTTTTGATAATGTATTTCTATATCGTTACATTTAATAATCACTTGAATACCACACATACACACACCGCACACTTGTGCACATAAATTGTGTACATAAATGCACACATATAAGTGTTAAGTTAGCATTTAAAAATGTTGTCATGTAAGATATTTATGCTTCTATTTCAAGTAATATCATTGTCCTAAATAACTTAATAAACTAAACTGGTCTATACTTAATCTTTAAGTAAATATTACCTACATAAATACAGCAGGGAAGATATAGAAGTGCTGTAAGACATTTAATTACTCAAATATAAGTAATGAATAATCTTACCAACTTGGTGTTCAAAGATTTATAAACAGTATGTATTAAGTAAAATACATATTGTAGTGATTGTTTCGTTTTGGGCTATGTGAAGTATTTTTAGCAGATTTGGAAACTGATTTTCTTTATCACTTACCGTAATTTTTCTTCTGCTGTCATGTCTTCATATGTCTGTAAAGATTTACGTACTAATTACTTAAGTTCAATAATGACTGATTATTTTGTGCTACACTACTTAAAAATAATATATTAGGTAACTTAAATCTGATTCTTTACACGATTTGAGAAAAATATGTTAAAATGATATATTTATTTAATAGCCAAAATAATGGTATTAGTTGAATAATTGAAGTTAAGTATCACCGTTCCCTCTCATTTTAATCCAACATTCGGATATATTAAATATGATCGTTAATTACAAGTGCACCTAAAGTTAAAACAATGATTGCAACTAGTTTTAACTCTTAACCTTGGACTATCGATAAGATAAAAGCAAACAGTGGTTCGCTAAGATCAATAAATGAAATAAAGGATAAATATCCTTTCACCAGTCAAATTAAAATTCTTTAAAATATCTCGTGAAACTTACCTTATTAGAATCAACAGGCCGGTGAAGATCCATGGTTATTTTTGAATTATATTAACTTACAACGATTAGATAATACCTTGCTTATATTTAGCTAGTATTTACATAATTTAATTATTGGTAAATCTAGAATTCCGGTATCTTTACTGTACTCAGGCTATCAAAAAGTATAACCTGCATTGACAATTGCCATTTTGCCACTTTATGTCAAATTGACAATCAAAGAGTATGAAACAAAGAAAGGCCATAGTTCTGCTTCTTGGTCTCATGGAGTCTCATTTTAAATATCACGGTGAGGGCATTTGAAAGAAAATCATCAACTTGTTTGAATATTTTACAATTACACTATATGCTTATATTTCATGACATTTCGTTTTTATGATATTAAGAAGATGTGATGAAGAGTTCTTAATTAATCAAGTCAGCTTTAAATGTCAACTTGACGTCGACTATCAATGTCAATTGCTTCTGTTTATTTTTCAGCTGATTATAAAATAATAAAATTTAAAGAATACATGTAATGCAAATAAATGTGAACTAATTATTGTTCTTTTATTATCAGTTGATAGGGTATTTTTACTAAAATGCCGAACAAAGGTACCCTATATTTTGTGGATTTAATATAATTACTTTAGCGGCATTAGGTCATTTGTTTGTGATCATTTTGTCCTAAGTACTAAAAATTGTAATTCTGTATACCAAGAGTCATAATCATTAAACAAAGCATGGCATTGTGCCTACAAACTTTTGCAGAATGTTCATGACCATTGTATTTAATGAGTGCTGAGTGGTATGTTAAATCGTCGTCAGCTTATATATGTCCTCACCGAGACACTCGTAGCCTCTTCAATTGAGTAGGAAAATCAAAAAATCATTGGTATATGTCAGAGAATCTTGGAAATGTAGACTACGATGTCTGGTTAGTTGCTTAACTGCACCACTGACTCTCAAGGAAATAAAATAATTACTATTATATTTAAATGCAGACATGTTTTGTAATCTCTATTATAGGATAGTTTTCATTTTCAGACTTGACAGGCAGTCCTGCCCAACATGGAGGGGCCAAAGTACCGGTGCCAACCCCAAAGGCATCTGTTAGCAAGGTAAGTTTAAATTAATGATTATTTATTTCTAAATTTTTGGTAGTTTATTATAATCGAACCTGGAGTAGGTAGAGTCCAAGTGACCATGATATTTCTCTTGCTATTAAGGGGTTCTTCCCGAGCCGAGGCTCTCACTTATCCAGTTTCAACTGTATAATGGAAACCTATTTATTAACAACCTTAATGACACATTATTGGATTTGAAATTAATATAAACAATAATTTTAATTATGAAATTCATTTATTTTTAATTCTAATTAATAGCTTTGAAATATTTTAGTACAATATTTATTTAATATCTAGATATAGTGGCATAAGAAAATTATTGACCATAGAAGTCTAATTTTTAAAATTTTTATTTTAATATAATAACATGTTTAAATTAGATGAATACTCACTTAGCTTGTAACATCATATTTTACAATCACTAACGCTCCGCTGATTTGCCACATTCAAATAAAAAAAAACTGTTTTAAAAAAAATTATAGTGACATGTTAAAATTATACACTGAATGTTATTAATATTGACACAACATACAATTGTATGACACTCATAAATATGTTCTCCTTCGTTTCATACATAATTCACAGTCTTGATATCGCACACTAAAAGCACTATTTATAAAGTCACCGATAGGAATATTTCTCGAAAAGCTGCTTTACTTTTTGCACAAGTGGTTTATTCAATAATGGTGCAATATCTTTTGAAAATAGGAAGTCCACATGATTGAACTTAGGCAAAGAGCAAGCTGGTTCTATTTGCTCCAACATACCAGTGTTGTTCAGCTCACGAGCTAGACGCATTACTTGCTGGAATACAAATTAAATAACAATGCTATAAAAAGAATGATGAAAATCGGACAAACAGCTGTTACAAAGTAACAAAAGTATAAAAAAATATTCCTTCTTTAGTAGAACTAATTTTTGAAGGTTCATTTTCTTTTAATTATCCTGCCTTATTTAAGAGTAACCCTAATAAGTGGTTTATAGCATTGATTAACATTACATGAACAGTTAATGATGGAGCTTAAGAGAGTTAAGGTTACTTACAGACTTCTCAGCAATCTGATCATTTTCTCCATACAATAGTACAATTGGTACCCTAATATTGGATAAGTTGTATGGTTTTGCATCACCAAGTACACCATCATCCAAAGACGTAAATACACCTGTAAAATTCTACATTTAAACATTTCAAATTATAGATCTACATGTTTAATTCAAACTAAGTAACCTCATCCAAGGAAATTTCCATTTCTATTATATGCCTAGTCAATACAAACGCGCGAAATTCGCAATCGAATGATATGACAGCGGTCCTTTTAGGTTTTCGTTGCCTTTTATTTATATGTGAATCGAACTATACTTACTAGTGAGTGCGATCTTGCCATAATGTTCAAATTGCCGCCAAGAGGCTGGCTGTACACGTGTCATCATTTGTGTTGTTACATTCTGTTAAAAAAATCAATAGTTAGCCTTATTCTTATTTTATTTATTTAACGTCTGTCGTTGGCTGGGTCTGTGTTGTCATACCGGATCGACTTGATCGAAGTTCTCGCCGACGAGGTTCTGCGTCATGAATACACAGAAGTTGTCGCGCGGATTTTTAGTTGAGCACACACTACGTATGAATAGCTCCATGAGAACGGGCGGCAACCCCAACGTCATGAAGCCGCGCTCACGTAGCCAGTTCTAAAAGATGTGTTAGAATAATTGAATACAAACAGTCAGTAGGAACTAATAAGTAGGAGTAAGTTAATTGAAAAGATACCCCACATGAACTTACAACAATTTTAAGACTTTTCAAAAGGAAGTCAGCGAGCCATTTCATATGGTCGAAGTATACGGCAGGTGCCAGACCTACGAATGCTACCACTTTATGGTTGTACTCTGGTCTGAGGGAGGCCGTGATGAAGAAGCTTGTGGTGCCCATGGAGTGTCCGATGTAAAGCAGGCTGGATTGCCCAGTGACGGCAAGTACTTTGTCTATTAGAACTGGAACGTCGTACTTTCCGTGCTCATGAAAGCTGGAACAATGAGCTCGAGTATATTCATCGTATTTTTGAATTATTAAAAATTCACAAAACATTGAAGCCATGATTTTTTTTCGAATTGGTTACAAAAAGAATTATGCGGGTTAAAATAGTGTTGGATTTCATCAATACTCTTTTATTAGTTGCGTTAGTTATTAGTTGCGGTTTTTTACTTTAAAGTCATCATACCTGTATTCCCAAAACTTAGGATTATCTCTGGTTAGATTTAGGTGCGCCGTGTGGCGATTCCCCCGCAAGTTGCCCAACCACACGTCATATCCTGCGTCTGCAAGCATAAAACCTAAAAAAAAGAAATAAAACATACATCAGGCTGTAAATAAAATAAATAGTTAATTGAAAAAAAAAACTTCTATCATTCCAAATACGAATCGAATGATAAATGTAACGGATATACTTTGAAAAGCATTTTAGGCAATTTAAGAATATGGTCTACGATTACCTAAACTTTTTCCTGGTCCCATCAAAATAAAGTTGCTACTGCATCCGAAGACACCATGTAATATGAGAACTGCTTTCTTGTTAACACCAGAGGACCTCGAGAGCCCTCTCCCTGTAGGTATCCTGTGTAATTGCAGGATATAGCCATCAGGCGTCAGTGCTCTGTGTTCTTCTGCTGGGTAGCCCGCTCCCCGGATTATGTTAGGCTGAAAATTATTATCAATAGCCTAATTTTACTTGGAATTCTTGCCTCACTTAGTATGAGAAATCTATACTGTTTGGCACTGTTAGACAGAATTCAAAGCCTAACCTAAGAAATGCTCACTTGCGCACTTCTTGGTGTCTCTGTGACAGAAAAATAAAAACATGTATGTTCTTCCAATCTCTACTTTTATGTATTTTAATAATTTTGTCTTTAATGAAATACACATCATGTTTGTTATTGAATAGCTGGGAGTGATGGACGTTATTTAAAATGCTTGGTAATTTATTCAAATCAAATGCAAAAATAAACATGTTATTATATCGTTTGAACTCTTATTATGAATCAAGACCTTGTCAGATTAGTTTCATCTTCAATGACCGTGATGTTGTTTTAAAAAATCATAAATACATTTTTTATTTTTGTTACAACCTTTCATGAAGTATATACTGTTGTAAACGACCAAGAAGAAACCAGTTTAAACAAGCAGTTTACAATATGCTTGGACTGATTATAAAATTTCCAAGTTCATAAGCAATCGGTGACATAACTGAAAATAAGGTCATTGTCATCTAGAGTCGATCTTGAGCCTTCATTTTTGGTTGCAGATCGACATACCTCACTGATTACGTGAGGACCTTATGTAATATATAATATTCTAATTAATGTTTTAGACTAAACTTGCCAAGAAGTTGGCAATGACATGTATTATTTATTACCTCTTATGGATAATGCATTCAAAATACTTTAGTTATATAATAATTAAATAAACTGGAAGTAGATCTGACCTTCTAGAATAAAACCTTTATCATGACCATTATGTACTTCCGAACTCCAATGGAATATATAATTATTATAATCAATGCTATTACATAATTAAAACATAACTGTATTCAGGGTTATAATTTGCAACTATGTAATTATAAATTTTAAGGTATATTAGGACGAATATTTAAAAACCTTTATTTAAGCCTTCGAGTACTAAACGTTATAAAAAAAACAATGAGATCGCAGTATCACAATGAATTTGAATGCATCTCTCCGTCCACTGATTTCTTGGCGAAGCTATTATTTAGGCTTTCCTAAAATATGTTCCTTTAAGCCCCATCCAATAGCTCCCAAAATGTCTTTAAATGATTGCTAAACTTTTTTTTAATCATTAAACATTCGTTTTCAAACTTACCACAGATTTATATGATTCTGGTAGACGAAATTGGCTTTCACTTTCAAATAAATTATTCAAACATAATAAAATTATACACCACGAACGCGCACTCATTTTCTATTTTAGTATCTAGCAATATAAAATAATCACATTAACACTGCACTAAAATATATATATTTTTTATTAACAATGTTAACTTTTTTAAACTTTTACAATATTTTCTATTGTGGCAATAAGTCAATCGTTTGACGTTTAAAAGCGCGCGAAAACCTAGGAAGTGTATTGACTGTTTTAAACGTTATGATCGACTGGCGGGAAACGATACCGTATCAATGCCATCGTATTTTTATTCATCCTTGTGTATTCTATTTAATACTGATACAATAATATATTAAAAAAATAAAACAGATTTTTTAAATTTAACTGTGATTAATTGATTATATTCTATTTAATTTCAAAATAAAATATTTTGTGTCAATTCCACTATGTATGTTACGGATACATTTAACTAACCTTACCTAACATGTTTTAATTTTTTTTTTTAATTTTTAATGTTATTTTCTGCCAGTGTTATTTTTTATCAATATCTCTGATTGAACTTAAGCCACATGTTATGTAATTGAAGGCAAACATATAATCGTGTAAGGATTTTTATTCATATCTTCTCACTTAATAATGTCAAGGTAACAAAAGGACAGACAGGTGTTTCCGAACTTAATATTTACCGTTTTAGAGAGTGGTTATGTAATATTTAATTCTTAACGTTGTTTCAATGACAGATTTTCTTGAATGTGTATATCTTTAAAGGTTTAGAGGGATAATAATACGTATATAGGTACTATGAAAATCCATATTTATTATACATATAGTCTATGTGCTTGACTAGCGGCCGGGTCAACAGTTTGCCCAAGTCCTTGGCGAACACGAAGTCCAAATGGTTAAACTTAGGCCAATCACAACCCGGCCGGACTTCTTCCAGCACACCGCTGTCATTTAATTCTTTGGCTAGCCTCATTATTTGCTGGAACAAACGCTCAAATAAGTCATAAGTCAGTTTGTCTTCAAGAATAAAGATCATTAGTCATCGTAATTCTATATGTAGTTAATCAGCAGTAAACAATATGTATAGTTTGAGAACATGTAGAAAGAGGAATAGAGAAAATAACAAGGTAGCTAATATAAAAAGAAAAAACATAATTTGATCTCTGGTTACTTATTTCCTCTGAATTTGGTTTATAAATAGAATACTTACAGATTTCTCAGTCAGCTGATCATTCTCTCCGTATAGGAGTGAAACAGGAACCCTCACGTTTGAAAGGTTGTAGGGCTTCACTTCGCCCCATAAGCCATCCTCCCACGATGTGAAGACACCTGAGTATAACATAGATTCAATGAAATGTCAGACCCAGTTCTGCTATTAAGTTCCGTAAGAATTATTAAGAAGTCTGTATTGCAAATAACTGGTCTCATTAGGTTTAACGTAATATCATGTAGACTAGCTTTGGTAGGAATCATTGAATTAGATGATTTGATTTTTTTATCTCACCAGTTAAGGCAATTTTGCCGAAATGTTCTAATTGTCGCCACGATGCTGGCTGGAACCTCGCCAGTATCACAGACATCATGTCCTGTACGGAGAAATTAAGTATTAAAATATCTTTAGGGGTCCAGTCCAATCGCCAGTGTCTTCACCTTGTGAGATAAAATGAAACTTTGGACTCATGGTAATGTAACCCTAACTGTCGTTAGTTGTTCAGTCACTTTAGGTTGTTCAATTGTTCATTTGTCACAGTAAGATCATTACCCAGTCGTTCTGCTCATAGTCTTCACCGACGAGCGCGTAGACGAGACGCATGCACATGTCGTCCTTGGGCGATCGCACTCGGCACACGCTGCTTAGCACTAGCTCGCGGAGCTCCTGGCGGAACGTCATCGACACCATGCCCTGATTCCGCATCGTTTGCTGGCAAAAAATTACACTTTTATTACTCTCGAATATAAATTGAGCGGTCTTCGCATGCTGATTCATGTCTACTACCACGATTCAAACAATAAACGTACGATGCTTTACTGCCGCAGACAAGTTCGTCAATGGTCAAGTGTAGATTTCTCTTACTAATTCTACACAGTCAGACTATGCGTTTATCTCCATACGTTAACATCAAAATCAACCAACCGGTACGTTCCAAGTCTTGAGCAGTAGTTCAGCAAGTGGACGCATGTTATCCAAGAAGACGGCAGGCGCAAGTGCGACGAAAGCAATAACTTTGTCATTGTATTCCGGCCGCTGGGACATCATGGTGAAGAAGCTGGTCGTGCCCATGGAGTACCCGACGTACAACAGCTTGGGTAGACCAGTGACTGCTAGGACCTTGTCAATCTGCGCCGGTATGTCGTACTTGCCGTGTTCATGGAAACTGGAAGCCCCAAAGATATTTGGTGTTTTGTAAGGAATTTACGATAAGTACGATTAAGATTAAAACGTGCTGAAACGTTTTAGTTTGTTTGTATTTACTAGTTTTGTATTATTTACTGCTATATTGAGTGTCTAGTCAAAAAATTCTTTAGAAGATTTTTAACTTTTTGGTCTTCGAGTTACTATGCAATTTTACCTGAACTCCCAAAATTTTGGGTTATCCCTGGTTAGGTTAAGATGTGTACTATAAATGGTGCCTCTCAGGTTTCCCAGCCACACGTCATAGCCCGCGTCTGCTAGGATATAACCTAAACAAAAATATAGTTTTACATTACGGATATGTAATTAAGATAACATAATTACATGATTAAAAACGAATATTTTCCTAGTTCTTTTTTTGTTAACAAGGTTACATTATGAATTATAATATTATAGACGTAAAAAAAACTTCACCTTGTGTTACTAAGGGAAATAAAACTATTAAAATTAGAGTCT